TACATCCACGGGGTAAGAAAGGGATGTGGTTTTCACTAATAGAGAAGAAGAGTACAAACTGAGATTACAAATCACTCAAACCAACCCACTAATCTCACCAACAAATCTCTAATTCTCTCCAAACAGAACTCAAACCAATAGCTCAGAAAATACCTTTTTTCTGTGTTCCAAATATCCACAATTCAATCACCAAACAAAGCCAAATAAACCCTAAAACGTATTGGTATTTATACCAAACATCAAATCCCAAACAGAATCCAAATAGGAACTCAAACTGTGTAGAAAACCTGACATAAGTCGACTTATCAGGGTCTATAAGTTGACTTAATAGAGCAAAAATCAACAACTGGAGAATAGAACGTAAGTCGACTTACCATCGACTTACTATAAATCAACTTAACAGTCTCTATAAGTCGACTTGACCGAGTCAAAACCAACAATTCCAAAACAGAACATAAGTCGACTTACCATCGACTTACCATAAGTCAACTTATGCGTGTGCATGAGTCGACTTATGACACATAATCTCCAAAATCTGGACCAAAAATTGGAATTTCCTAAATTCTCCACAGTTAATAAATAAAATTGTATAATAAGATTACTTAAAAATATATGAATTGATTATTAGTATAGTTAATGCAATTGAATATTTTTCTTATAATAATTGCCTAATGCTCACCTTTTTTAAATTAGTCCTCCAAATCTAAGATTGTTCCTAAATTAAACATCCAATTCTATAAGTTCTCTTAAATATGTCCCTTTAGCATGAAAGTTGTTAACTTAACTCTAAATTAACTAAGCTGCATCAATCTAGCTAGTTTTTTTCTGATTTTCTCTAAATAATTGCACTTAATACCTACAACATATTGTAATCTTTAATTCTCATTATAATTATTTAATAGAGTAAATTACACTAAATTACACTAAACCCTTATGAACTTTCTACCCCTTTGAACTTTTCAAATCATACTAAACCTTTAATGACTGTTTTGTTTCACAGAAAACCCCCAATAACTTATTAAATTTTGCAGATAATCCCTATAAATTAGAACTAGAAAATGGCCTAAAAAGATATTTTGAAAGTTGTTAGGGGGTTTGGTGTGATTTTGAAAGTTCATAGGTTCTATTTACTACAAAACGTTAAATGTTCATGGGGGTTACTATAATTTACCTTATTAATATTATAATTCTTAGTTCAAGTAATATTATCAAAATAATTATATTGTCTATATACTATAAAATATTTTTCTAATTTAATTTTTTAATTATGCTCTTAAATAATTTAGTATTGTAAGTATTTTATAAATTTTTATTATACTATCATTATAAAGTAATAGTATTGTTATTAATATTAAATAGTTTTTTTATAAAAAACTTAGTTTTCAATCATTACCAAGTATAGATTATTCGATATCATGTAATAATCTTTGAGAAAATACTTTAAAAATAATATTAAACTATTTATTTAACTTTATTAATAATATTATACTAAATAATTAGTGTAATTCAAAATTTATGTGATATTATTAAAATAATAACACTATTTATGCGATTAAATATTTGTTTTATTGCTCCCTGAATTATAGTATAATTCTCATTAGTATTTAATAATACACTATTTTATTTATACTATTATTTAATTATTTTATTATACTTGATAAATAATTATTATAATAAATTAATTGGTTACTACTAATAGCTATGTATACTTATTTTATAAATATTTTATTATATTATTTTTAAACAATAATAGTCACAATATTATTGGTAATTATAATTTTTTAGGAGTGAGGAGGTGCATAATTAATAAGAAGTTATATTTATTTAATGAAAGATTTATTAGAGATAATGTCATAGTTAGAATTTATCAAAATTTGAGAGGGAAAAAAAGAAAGTTAAAAATTTTGACACCCCAATCCTCTTTTTATAATAGTGTATATATATACACACATATACATATATTTGAGAAGAAAGGGGTGGGGTGGAGGTTATAGTTTGGAATATGAATAGATATAGTGTTGGGATTAATGTAGGTATAGTGGAAGGGTTATAAGAAACAAAATTTAATATTCATGCATAATCATTAATAAGAGGATTACGCCATAAATTGGAATGAGGACACTTTGGTGATTTCAAGCCAATTTAGAGGACATTTTAGAGGGAAAAGTTTTAACACACTTCCCACTTTTAGATTTATATATAATAGTATTATATAATTAAATTACAAAGAGCTATGCCGATGCAGAAGTTAATACTTATAATTATCATAAAGTTATATTTTTTATATAATTACAAACTCCCCTATGTCAAACAATCTCAGATGCTTACACTGGCAAAAAGACAGAGAACCCTGATATATTATTTTTATTGCTAATTGTGACATTTGTGGAGTTGAAAGAGGACCCAATCACACCTAAAGACGGTGGAGCTCACAGCCGCATCCTTGATAGCAACACTAACAGCCTATTATTCGTTCTTTATTATTATTTAATGCCCCCACGCGTCCGTGCTTACTCCATGAACCTGCCATCTCTGACTCGTAACCTCTCCAAATACTTGTGCCAAGGTAGCAGTAGGACCTACGTAGGTGGTCACAACTTGAGTACAATTATTATTACTTGGGCCACTTGGCTTTTCTAGCATACTCCGTCCCTCGTATACACAATTAGTATATATTATTGAGATCTATAGATCAATTTTTATATCGTAGAAGAATTTCGAATAGTTGAGCTATATGATGGAGAAACATGTTGCATGTTGGAAAAATTGGACGGATGCGTGGCAACTGGCAAGTAGTCAGGCTTAACCTGAGGTTAATAATAGGTCTTAACTAGAAACTAAGAAATTATTTAACCCAACATCTTACGATAATAATACCTCTAGAATGAAGTATTAAATTTTCTTAACAACTTCGATTGACCTTAATATCAGAAGTTCCACTAGTCATGAGCCACTTATTAAGTGGCTAAAATACCAAATTGGTATATTTATACAAACGCTTTTACCAGTTTGGTATTTTAAAAACTCCGACGACGACAATGCATTAAAGCTTGACTTTTTTGTCAATAAGGCATTTTTCTCAAAATTCCGACGAAAATTTTTGTTTAAACCCCTTACCTCCCAAAATTATTAAATTTGTACCATCCTCATTCTCCTCCTCCTCCTCCTCCCCCACTCCCTCCAGCGCACCATCGTCCTCCTCCTCCTCTCCTCTGTCCCCATCTCTCTCCTCTGGGTCAACCTCAGCCCCCTCATCCCCTCCCTCTCCTCCTCCTCCTCTCCCAATCCCCTCTCCTCCCTCTCCTCCTCCTCCTCCTCCTATCCTATTCAGATTTTTTTTGTACTTCAAATTTTTTTGCACCATTCCAGCTTGAATAGATAGCTCTGCTGCAGCTAATGCAGTGAGGGGTGTATATTCAGATGGCTTAACAACCACCGTGCACCCACAAGCCAAGGCAGGGCCGACCTGTTGGAGACAATACCTTAGTTAACGAACATAATCATCAGTAAGGACATAGTCTTAATTATGTGAATATTTAAGCAACTCCATTAACTGTTTTAAATTTTAACCTTTCGCGTAATCATGGCCAAAGGAAAGTTCCACGGGGTAATTGCTGCAACCACTCCAACAGGCTGCACTAGAGATAAAAAAATAAGTAGAGGAATGGGGGAATGTGAGAGGAGGAGGAGGAGGAGAAGGAGGGGATGAGGGGGCCGAGGTTGACCTAGAGGAGGGAGATGAGGATGGAGGAGAGGAGGAGTAGGATGATGGTGCGCTGGAGGAAGAGAGGAATGGGAGAGGAGGAGGAGGAGAGGGAGGGCACAAATTTAAAAATTTTGGAAGATAATGGGGTTAAAAACAAAATTTCTCGCCGGAGTTTTTGAGAAAAATGTCTTATTAACAAAAAAGACGAGCTTTAATGCCTTGTCGTCGCCAGAGTTTTTAAAAATACCAAACTGGTAAAATCGTTCGTATAAATATACCAATTTGGTATTTTAGCCCTTATTAAGTGAGAAAATTTGATGGGAGTTTCCCCATTTAAACTCTCTTTCCAAAATGAAGTCAACTATTTAGAATACCGTTTTAAGTCACCAGAACTCATCACATGAATCACCAAATTTCAAGATGAAATCACAAAGAAACTCCATGATTTTTCTGGATTGAAATCACATAATACATGAAAAAGAGTTAAGACCAATTCAAGCACTTCATAAGTGGAAATACGGTAAATTTCTCATAACCCCTTAAAAGTTATGATTATTTTGAAAAACACAAAAAGTTTTATAACGTTACTATGTATCACTAACATCTTGTTTGGATGGAGGTTAATGAATGAAAGTTAAAGTGAAATTTCAATTTCATCTTGTTTGGAAGTTTTTTTGAGCGGTTAGAGGATGAAATGGAAGATTAAATTTCCTTCCATTTTCCTCTCCTCCAATTTTGGTGGTAGATGATGGAATGGAAACCAATGTAAAATTTTATAGTGTGATAAGATAATTATATCCTTACGACATTAAAATCAATGACTAAGATATACTCACATACAATATGTAATGATATTTATGTAACTTTATACATATTTACTTCACTTCTCTCTTTTTTATTAAAACTCACAAACAAGATAAAACAAAATTACTTTCGTTTTTTAATAAACTTTTAAACAACATTTTATCTTTTCGTTTTCATTCACTACATTTTCTTTTCATTATTTAAATTTTTTATGATTATGCCAGTTTGGGGAGTATCTCTCTAGACTCTTGGTAGTTATATGAAAATTACCCATAAAAAATACAATAAAATACGGTATATTTGGCATGATGTCGTATACGGACGTAATCCGTACGCGAACCTCTTTGTCCTCCAAAAAGTGAGAAGAAAGATCTCGTCTCCTTTCCCATTTTCAAAGGTGCAGAAAAAAGAAGGGGGGCAAAAAAAAAAAAAAAAAAAAAAAAAAAAAAAAAAAGGGGTAATAAAAAAAAAA